TGAATTCTATCGACTAGGACGCTTGCATGTGTCTTTGCATGTTTTCTTAATCTTAAGTGTTTGCTTGTGTTGCAAGAAAAATAGTATACGTGAACAATTTTCCCCAACAATCTTAAAGATTCTTATATGATCTGTTGTTCTTGTATGTATACTGCTTGCGTTTGTGAAATGATGATGTAACTGTTAATCTGCCATATATACAAAGCTTGCGGTAATTGGTAATCCGCCACAAGATTGAAACAAGGAATTCATTTCCTGTATCTATACGTGCGTGAGTAGCATCACTTGTATGGCAGATTTACTATTTTGATTCTAAGGAACAGAGTTCCTGTACATGATGGAGACACTGTTTTGAATGACACCATGCTATTATTTTTGTTGGCTGTGATCTCAGTACTGTTTTTGAGTTTCTAGAAAATTGCATCATTTCGGACTATATATCTTCTCTTTGGAACAATTTCATCACTCTGATTTTGGTCATTGTTCCATGCATGCGAGGTCTTTTAATCAATTTTTGTTTGGTTAATTGAGAGGAACCCTGGGTTCCTGTACATGTTTTGCATGCATTTGGTTGCTTGAAAGACACGTCTGTGCATTATTTTTCCCTTGGAATTGTTTATTTTTGTTTCTTCTTGGTAATTGGTTACCGGCCGGAAAGAGAGAAAGGAAGCATGGCAAAGTTTGGCATCCCAAACCTTGTTCTGTGAATTAATCACTTCTACGAGTTGGTGGCCTAGAGGAGAAATGTCATTTGGTCGTCATTGATACCGGATTTGCAATGGGATAGTCCTGGAAGTGTTTTTGACCCAGGTCATGTTGATTTAATTAAATCAATGGTACTAATGCATTGATCCTGGTCATGATGATGTGACCTCTTGGTGGAATTGTTGGAGAGTATCCAACCAATTCATGGATCTTGAAGGTCTTCGTAAAGAAAATCCTATTGCTGATCATTGATGCATCTCATTATCTGGCTTTGAGAACACCATGGATGCGGATCATAAACCCATGGACGAAGAGGAGGACTCCGATATGGAGTTCCTCTGGCATATATATATGTGTGTGTATGTATATACATACAGTAGCAGTATGTATTCATCTATGTAAATAATGTATTTACATAATGAATAAAAGAAAAAAAACAATGTTCTTATTTCCTAAGTGGAAATTAGTTGGATAAAGCCTTACGAGTATGTTTGGTTCCAATATTAACCACCAATTATAATTGCATACATTGCATTGATCTGTTTCATTTATGTGGCATGGATGAATGATAATTGTACCAATTTAATTTGGACATTTTTCATTCAAAGTGATACATGAGAGGATGGAAGAACTTATGATAGCCCTTCGTGGACTATAAGTAAAAGGTGATTTGAATAGTTGTAAACTATCTAGTGGGAAAACTATGAACAATCATAGGAGTGTAAAACCTATGGGATGAGGCTAGTGGGGACTTCTGAGTCAAGTCTATCTAAGCCAGAATGTTTGCATAGGTTATGTTCAAAGTAAGTTGAACATAGTTATGAAAGAGTATACCTCCAATGTGTTGGAGATGAAATTTGGTTAATGCACGTTTAAGGATTGCATTACGAGAAAGCTACAAGCGGTAAGGAATTCTAGTTCCTATGATAGTTGTGAAGACATGATAATTTATTTATCATGTATGTGGTTTAGGACTTGATGTTTCCTATGCCATGAGGGCAAGTAAAATGAAGCTATTATTGATCCTTATAGAGATTTAATAAGCTTTCCAAATGATTGTCGTCATCGAGATAAGCATTATGTCAGAATTGTTTATGGTATAAGTACAATATACCATTGGAAAACAATTTGACTATGATTATCAGCGTGGAGCTAGTTGCCAGAATTGTTTATGGTATATATAGATGTATATCATTGGAAAACAATTTGGAATGAGAGCTCAATTGAGATGATCTTATTGAATTTAAAGTCTGGATTACTTATGGTATATTTATGAAGTTTATACCATTGGAAAGTAATTAGACAATTGAATTAGAAATTCGTTTGAATTACTTGTGGTATATCATGTTATATAAATGAAATGTCATTGGTAAGTAATTAGATGGGATTTCCATTACTGGAATGCATTTGAATTACTTATGACGTTGCAAGTTGCGTTGATCAATACCATTGGTAAGTAAATAGATGATATTTCTAATAAAATCTGAAATGTTTGTGGTATGCTAATCGAGTGAGATCATACCATTGGTAAACAATTAGATACATATAGTGGTTGTCAAGTTCAATAAGTAAAACCATGGAAAATAAATGGGATTATTCCATGATGTTTTGGCAAAGGGTAGAATTGTGGGGGGGGGGGGGGGGGGGGGGGGAAGAGCTAGCAATTGTTTCGAATACTATCTCAAGACCCTACAATGGGACACAAACCTATTCATAAGACAAAAATGGAAAGGTAAACGAAGTCATACTTGAAAGTATGAAGGTGTCAAATGAGAAAGGGAGAGTCCTTAAACCTTGTCGAGTTAACCTAGTCCAAGGGTATAACTTATGAGTAAACTCTAGCATATATTGACGTTATGTCAGAAAGCTAGAATATTTATTGATGTTGATCCACTCTTCCCAAAGAGATGATTTTGACCATATACATGAATGTATATGAACAACATTCCCCAAACCGGAAACGTTGGTTTCAACAACTATGGCGAAATAGTTGAAATGTGGGGGATAAATTGGGGAGAAGTAATGTGGAATGTCGCTTGGGTGATTCCAAAGTGAAGTGATGTGAATACTTAGGAGTTTTATGTAAACCCTAAGTTAAGTCATAGATATCACTACATTTGAATAGATACTTGTGAAAGTCAAGTACTCTAAGGTTAATGAAGTAGAGAGACTTCAACACCGTTGGCATGTGTTATGATTATTGCAAGGCAATAAAATCAAGGAAAACACACATGATGTGTAGTGAATCGAAAAGAGACGAGTCTTTGGTGAATTTTACCCAAAGGAACTCACTGGGTGAACCAAAAGCCATAGTCCATTAATGGATAGGCATTTATGGTTAAAGAGGAGCAGTATCTTGGAAAACGTCCAAGTTAAACTCTAAGACCGGTGAAGTTGAGTAGTTTGGACCGCAAAGACTGGCTTAATAAAATGCATTTGTGCACAAAATGTTATAGCGAAGTTATCGGAGATGATCAGTCTAGATCAAGTGATAACAAATGTGGGGCCCATCTAGAAATTTGTTAAAGCATCAAAGGGAATGGACTCGTGGCCTAGGACAAATCATCATGGCGGTAACTCTACCTAAGTAGGATTGGCAGACCCAACCTATAGGTTCAAGGAGAAAACAAAGTTGTGAATGATGGTCCGACATTGTCAAATTATTCAAAGCCCATTCTCATGATGAGACAATGTCCAACTATAAGGGTAAACCTAAAGATGGAAGGTTTTTAATGGTTTCTAAGTTTGACACGTGGTGTGATCAAATAGTGTATTTTCAAAATACATGTTTAGAAATCACCTATGTGAGTGTGAAGTGGAGCCGCTTCAAGGAGAATAAAAGAAGGCCAGTTCTCTAAGCACTCATGAGACCAGGCGGTGTTCATGGCTAAAACGAACACAACAATGAGAACCAGTGAACGGATAAGAGTTAGTTGTGTGACATATGTTGTCTTAGTATACAAGAAAACCGACGGTTCAAAGATATCACATCTACCGATTGGTGAGTATACTCGATATATGTTCACTAAGGAAGGTTCAAAGGGAAACCTACCTATCCCGATGCAACTAATTCTTAGTCGAGAATCACACGATTTTTTGCATAGTTTTAAAGTACAACATTCTCCATTCATGTGGGGGATTGTTGGGATTTTTAGTGGTGTGAATTAAAATAAAAAGGGGAAAGTTTCAAGAGAGTCTCTTGAAGCACCATGTTGGTAAGATGTGGGAAGGCACGGCCTCGAATTCGATCGATTTGATGTAATATGTGGTTAATCGGTTAAATTGGTTTGTGTACCAAACAGACCAAATCAAACCGAGTTGAACCAAATTGAACCGAACCGATGTGGCGGTTGGAATAACCAAACCTGTCCAACTACCATGGGTCGAACCGATGCAATGGTTCATTATTTCAAACATAAACCAATGTGTTGGTTGGGGTGTAACCACCCATATGAAGAGTCGCCTCCCTTCGTAAGCACCCCTTCATTTTCTATAAATAGCACCATACCCCCACTAGTTTTAACTGCGAGATACATAGAGATTTTTCCAATACGAAAATTCTGCCAAAAAATTCAAAACTAGTTTTCTGCATTCTTTTCAAAGAGAAAATAGAGTCAAGTGTGGTTCTCGCCGGTTCGCTGCGTTTGATGGGTTTCGGGGTTTGAGGTACCGCTACGCCGGAAAAGGTACGTCCTTTCTATCCTGGGAGGAATCATTCCATAACCTTGGGTACTTGAGGGGAATAAGATTCTTTAAGGAGAGATAGTGAATTCTATCGGCTAGGACGCTTGCATGTGTCTTTGCATGTTTTCTTAATCTTATGTGTTTGCTTGTGTTGCAAGAAAAATAGTATACGTGAACAATTTTCCCTAACAAAATTACATAAAATTTCTATGTTTGTCAATGAAATTACTTTTCGTTCATATTAGCCACTAACTTTATGATTCGTTTCACTGTTAATAACTGGCTGTTAGTCTCCATTAACGTCGTCGGATTTTTTATGATGTACATGGCAAACGGAAGTGCTAACTAGACTGACAAAAAGCCGAGTCCTGCAAGTTGACCACCTAATCAGCCTCACCCAACCCAATTGACCAAAACATGTTATTTAATTTTCTTTTACTTTTAAGTAATAAAAAGAAAAAGAAAATTAAAACTCAGCCCCTTCCGATTCGTCGTCTTTCTTCCACTACTGCAAAAACCACCGTCGCCGCGAATGGAGGAACTCGTTGATATGCTCATCCACATCAAAGGAGAACCACGAGAGCAAGCCGAGACCCGATGACATTTTCGTGCTACCTCTCTTCCCTCTCCCAATGATTCTCTTTCCGGACGCGATTATTCTGCTCCAGATCTTTGAGTTCCGAGTGCGATTCTTCGGCTGTGTGGGTGAAATCGTGAAACACAAGTGCATCGTCGACGATCGACTCTTCCTCATCTGCAAGGTCCAGGAGTGATTCCCCATTGCCAATCTTTGATTCAGAGCTCTGCACCGACCTTGTCCCAATCTCTGGTCCCATGTCGGAGCACCACTCCTCCGACGTTCCCTAGCCTGCCGCCACTGCTATACCACCACCGCGCCCATCATCTACCTCTAGTAGGTAATTTCAATCCTCTTCTTTTGAAGTTCTTCATCGGGAGCACGTTTGAAGGTGCGTCAAGGGAGCAGCAAACGCTGTCGGAGTTGGAAGACACGACAGCGAGGTTGGAGCAGGAGAAGGAGAAGAGTAGAGAAAGGATGCATTTTTTTATTTTTTTTTTAAATTGACATGTCATTAAGTTAACGGTCTAGTCAGCATTTGACTCGCATGAAACTACACCACAAATTAATCTCACATAGAGCTCAAGGTCTTAAACTCTAGTCGGGTGCAGTATAGGGCAAGTATTTAAATTGTTAACCCGGGTCGGTCTATGTACCCCTACTTCAATCACTTAAGTTGTTATCTAGGAAAACGGTTTTTTGGGCTTAAAACTATGAAACTATAAATGAAAACAAGCAAGTAAAGTAAATTGAAGGGAATTCTATATGAGAGGACCTCACTCGGGTGTTGCTTCACCCTAACTACTACCATGGTATGTGAATTGAGACGATTGCTATGGGCAAGGTAACTGCGAACCGTAGAGAGATGCAAATATGGTCGTAGTCTCGTAGACCACACTCTCAATTGCTGAACCGAGGTATACATTATAGGTTGTGTCATTCGGCCCTCTCGGTCTAGGAAATCGGTGGTTGACTTACTCCCTCACTCAACTCAAGGGTTAGACGGCTTAATCGCACTTCACCAATTTGTTTAATTCAACATTGAGGTTTGCCCTAAATTAACCTTGTTAGGTAACTTAAAAATATAAAGGAAAACCAACTCGATTGAGTCTCCCTTGAAAGTGGGATTTCGCTCTCTAATCTAGGTTAAAGTGGCTAATTAGATTGCTAAGCACCAGCATGCACAAACCTAAGGATGCTAAGCACAATCATGCACAATCCTTAGGTTGCTAATCACAAGCATGCACAATCAACATGAATAATACCTCAATCAATGAATTAAACAACACCCATAAAAAATCATTCAATTCACATAAGCATTCACATAATTGTAGCTAGGGTTTACAACACCCAAGTGAATAGGTAGGCTATTCCATAGCTAAGAAAAGAAAACAACAAAATGAGAAGAAAGAACCATGAAGTGATGTCAATCTTTCCTCCTTGTTGCTTAAGACACCATTGAGATGAAGAAATCTTCAATCCTCTAGCTAGGAACAAGCCTAAAGCTCCTTCTTCCTCCTTTGATTTGCACTTTCTCACTCTAGAAGAAACTCTAACCTCTCACTAGAATCCTCTTTATTCTGAAAATGAAAACCTAACCTAAAAAATGAAGCTCTCTTTCCTCTCCTCGTTGATGTCTTCATATATGCCCGAAAGTGACCAGCTCACGCATGCGTTGGCCAGTTCACGGCCGTGAACAACTAAATGTGTCTGTGAACTTAGTGTCGTCCAAAATGCACCGCTTCGCTTCTAGGGTTTACGATTAATGGCCCCAGTTCACAGTCTTAGAGACTGTGAACTGCCTTGTCGTCAGTAACTTCTGGAACCTCGTTGGATGCCTCGATATTCACGGTTTGTGGTCCAAGTGACCGTGAACTGCCTTGTCCGACCGTGAAATGCGGCTGTTTCCTGGACGCCTTCACTTCACTGCTACGGGGCAATTGTGACTTCTAGCGACCGTGATAATTGCTTCCAAATAGTGACTTTGGACTTTTCTTTGGGTTTTGCGCTTTTTGACCTCCAATTATCCCAAACTTTGACCTCGATCCTTCCACACGTGCTAGGACCTGAAATGTATCAAAACAAGCACAATCTAGCATGAAATATGTCGAGAAACGATGAAATACTATGATAAACGAATAAGAAATGAGGGGTAAAATGAGTACATGTAGGCCCGAATCAGCATTCATTTTTGCCACATCATAAAAAATCTGATGGTGTTAACTGAGTGTGACGGAGACTAACGACCAGTGACAAATGGTGAATAGGGACCTATTGTAGTTGAGGCGACCGAACCCCTACTGTAGGTTAGCCTTTCTAGATAGAACCCGAGATGAAACCTCAGTGTGGACGGTGGATAGTATCCATTGAAAGGAGCTACGAGCTTAATGCACCAGATATGATAGCCTAGATCGAGGTGATTTTATATGGGTTTAGGGGAGGCGTACTCGGAGGCGTGTGGATAACCAAAAAAACCCACAGAAAAGAGCTCGCTCACCACATTCGATAACCCTGAGTATTTATGCATGCAAAGTAACCCTAAGCTAGGGGGAGGATTAGTTCCCGAAGTACCTGCTTTTAACTTTGATCAAACTCTAGTCTAGTTATCTCCTCAAGTCCTCCATTCAAACTTCTAAAACCGATTAATAATTAGTAACAAGTTGGGAAGTAGGCTAGGGTACTAGGACCCGATTAAAATACGACATTGATTACCACTATACGACAATGCCATCTTAGGCTAAACTTGGTTTAGGATGGGATAGCTGTTGACACGTGCTAACCATTGACAATAATCTGCAGGGATTGAAGTGATCACAAATCAATGATTACAATGAAACCACTATTATAAAATAAATACTATACAATCACTATTGATACGAGCAATAAGAGGATTGCACCATATTTGCACATGTTTGCACACTTGTTTCTTAATCGTTTGGGCTCCAATCTGTGGTGTCTTGGCCTATTTTACGCTAGGTTGTGTTATTTTGTCATATTTCAGGCCCTGGTGGGTAAAGGGAGGCATAGGCGCAACTTTCGAGTCAATCGGAGGTCATTTGGTCACTCAAAAACCTCTCAAAAGTGGAGCTGAGAATGAAATACGGGCAGACTCCTTAAAAATACGGTCGTAATTCACAAATTACCGCCTGTATTCCCTAAATTACGACCGTAATTCACAAATTACTGCCAATATTTTTAATGTCGAGCCTTGTGATGGCTCAGGTACAATATACGCTCCGTATTCCGAAAAATACGGTCATATTTCTCAGTGTCTAGCCTGTAATTTCACTGCCGAGAGGAGCCTTGGATGCACTGAGACTTAACCAAAACGCGAGTTTTGGGAAAAATACGCACTGGGAAGAATTACGACCGTATTTCTGCCCGTATTTCTCCCAGAATCGAGTTGAAAGAGGCAAATTCGAGCCAAAGAGAGGGGGAGACGAACTTTGAGAGCAAAAACAGAGTCCTAGAGAGAGAAAGTGCGAAGAACAAACCCTAGGAGTGATTTTGCAGCTGGGTTTCATCAATCAAGCTTGGATTTCATCCTTGGAGTGAAGATTATCATCCCAAAGCAGATTCTTCCCATCATTATGAGTATGACTGCTTTGTATTATGTTTTCCTCTCTCTCTTGGGTATTAAGAACCCTAGTTCCATGTGTCAGGGATATTGATTGTAATGACTTTTGGATTGATATATTGTTTGATTACAATCGATTGATGCATGATTCATTGAGTCAATTGAAGTCTGATAAACTTTTCTTGATTTCTGCTGCAACCTGAGATAGATAGAATCTGATTAGGTTGTTATAGCTTCTTCAATCGGTAGTAGTGAATCGAATATACGAGAGTTAGTCGATTCACTGCTTTTTACTGGAATCCAATTCCAGCAGTGGAGTTATGTGTTAATCGCCTCAACGTTCTATCCCGGTGAAGACTAGTCGTCTGTCGGGTAGTCCGTCTAAGAGGGCTTGGTCAGCTTAAGAGATTCAAAGCTACTGTCGGATCTTCCGCAGTTTAACCAACAGTAAATCAACCGAAAGAAATTACAACTTTGACCTAACTAAGGAGATAGGGGGACTCATTCCCGAGTGACTCTTCCCTTGCTTAAGAACTTCGAACAATTTCCTGCTTTCTTACTACTTTTGTTTACAATCACTCTCACTACACTTAGTCCCACTAGATAATAGATAATCACGGAGTAGGCAGTAGATCTAGACCCCGGGTTGATAAAATAAACTTACCACTATTCTGCATTTTCATTCTGTGATTACACTTGGTCGCAGTTTAGTGTTGTATCATAGCGTGTCATAAGCAAAACACGTTAAGTTGAAAGAAAACCACTACTCCACAATAGGTGGGGGGGGGGGGGGGGAACACTACTAACGAAGAAATCTAGTAGAAAAAACCACTGGTTTTCCTACCTCAATATTCAGATCTACTACACAATCCCTGAGAAGAAAACACTACTAGATCTATACTCGTTTGTCACTTCTACCCAACTAGCAATGTTATTTTGTCATTGGTGCCGACCCACCGATTCAAGCCGAATCGTTGCGGCCATATTCCCTTCACGAGCGAGCACGATCTTATCGATCTAGATCTCCCCCAACGACAACCACCTATACAATCTCAGCTTTTCCTTCTCTCGAGCGAACGCCTCTGCCAGCGTTGTTTTCTTTGATTCTCCTCCGTCGTCGACTGCAATAACCTCTGTCAGCATTGTATTCTTCGTTTCTCCTCCTCATTCGAATGCAATCGCCTTTGCTAGAGTCATTTTCTTTGTTTCTCATCCACCGTCAACTATAATCGCCTATCGAGTGCCATGTTGATGCGGCCCCAGCTGACCGGGCAAGCCAGAGGAAGCACTTGGGCGAGAGAAGAAAGGATATCGACCAAGAAGGAAGGATACCCGACCAGGTATCAGGAGCAAGGACCAGGTACCTGGAGAAGAAGAGCCCCCGGGCAATGAGTTAAAATACCCAATTGGGTATTTGCAAGGTCTGACCAGGTATTTTGACCTAAGTGACCGGATTTTGTGTTTTAAATTGTTTTTGTTATTTTTAATTGTCCATACCTATATAAAGGATGAAACTTAGGTTTTAGGTTTATTTTTTAGCATAATATTGACTTTTATCTTGGTTTTGAGCTTTAGGCTTGAACTTTTTTCTATCAATAAAGTTTTCCCCTTGATTGTGCTCGATATTCTACCTTTTTTATATTGATTGAGCCTTCTCCCGATTTGTGTTAAGATTGCACTTT